TTCATTGCCTCATTCTCAATACACTCCTTTAGGATTCTCGAATCATTAGCGGAGCCTTCCCACCCAGCTAGCACATATGTGAACCTTATGTCAAAGTCACATACAACCATTACATTTTGTGTCGTATAACCCTTTCTACCACAAAATGGAAGTTGTGTACTTGCTGGCAGAGTTGTAAGAATGTGGGTTCCATCTATAGCTCCCACGCAATTCTTGAAGTAAGGGTAAAACCTAGAAGACTCTCTAATCTTATTCGGAATCACAGAAAAATCAGGAGGGGCAATGATATGGGTGCCTAACTGATATACTGCATGCAACACAGTATGGAAGTGTTTAGAAATGGTTTCAGTGGAGTGTTGAAATCTCTCTGCTACAACACAATTCCTTTGATTATGAGATAAAGTGAGCAAAAAGATTGCCACTTGTTCATAAACAGTTAAAAATTTAGAGTCCTTCAGCCCTATACCTTTCAGGGTACTACACAATGTTCTGAAAACTTCAGGGTACATCCTAAAATTTTCATAACATCTTTCTCTGTGGCCGTTTAAAATCTCCATAACATACATTTCCCCTTGTAAAGTGGAATCCCTATAACGCCTCTTTTGATAGAAGTTCCGCTATTCTAAAATAGTAGCAAATATTAAGACACTCTTATTGTCCTCCTCAGCGTCATAAAATTAAATTATTCTTCTTATATGATTCCACATATCTATTGCCCTATTTAAAGATTTAATAGAAGTAAAATATTTAAGTTAATAAGCAAAACAATTAAATAATAAACAAAACATTTAAATAATAAACAAAGCATTTGAGTTAATAAGCTTAACATTTAAGTAATAAACAAAATATTTAAGTTAATAAGCAAAACATTTAGCCTAATAAGAAAAATATTTAAATAATAGCAGTACAGTCATCCAAGAAATAAAAGTATTTAGTTATTATAGTCATCCAAATGTGAGATAGTAATAAGTTAAACAAATAACAAAACACAATCATCCATAAAGAAAGACTTAAACATTCAGTGCCCAACCCTTCTCATCACCTCAAGTGCCGAAAGAAATTTTTTTTGCCACTTCTGAGAATCATGTAACAACTTCGATACCTTAGCGAATTGGGCCATCTCAATTCCAGGTATTTTTTGTAAAAGGAGCATGCAGGCGTCAAACACTTCATCATCTCTATCCTTTTTAGAGGGAGATAGAACTTCATCACCTCCTTTCTCACATGAAGATACACGAGTAGAAGTAGAAGATGCTTTAATTGCTTCTCTGTTGCCGCTTCCATTCTCTCAGTTCTCCTCGCAGAATTCTCATCCATGTTTGGCAAGAGTGCAGCCATACTGGGAGATAAACTATCTCTTTTGGCTTTCTTACCTTTACGTAAAGGTGGTGGGACTGACGTGACAACCCTCTTCCTCATATTCGTCATCATTGGGAGTGGGCAAAATGATTGCAGGGGGTGCTGTAGTGGAGGGCTAGGCATGCATTCCTGTTACATATGTGTCCCCAAATATAGTCGACATCTTGTCAAAATGCTTATATCCATGTCTGCGAAACTTATTTGCACCCGTAATAACCTACAAATTTTGTTACAATATTAACCTCATAACAAAGAATATACGACATTTTATTATTTATTTAGGACTAATAATTAAATTACTAACCTTGCTCAACCTGCCCCATATCTCTTCCTCAACTATAACCATGCTCGTCTCATGGTTATATCCCACGCCAGTCTCCGATAACAATTTCTTAAACTCGACATAAATTTTTCTCAATTGGTTAAACTTATTCCGAAGTTAGGTTTTGTTAAATTTTCTCCCTATTTAAACCTTCATTTCTTTTACAATAGTAGTCCAACCATTTGGATTAAATGTTGTGTCAGTACGATTGCCAGCCCTAACTTGTTCCTCCATAATATTACAGAATTTTTCAGTAAGTGAGTCATCCCATAACAATTTTCCATCTTTCATAACTTCAGCCACCACTTCTTCTTTAATTATGAGATAATCACCACATTATTCCACATTCTCAACATTCATATCCATCTAACAGATTAATAACAATACTATAATTAATAACAACAAAAATAATATATATTACTTCAATAACTCATGCTATTATTCAATAATTCATGCTATTACTTCAATAACTCAAAGCCTTATAAGTTCTTCCATTATTCAATGAATGATTTCTTACTATTTTCTTAGAAGCCACACAAAATGTATAAAATAATTAAAGTTGAAACAAATAATTCTTTATATTGACAATGAGGAATTGAATCATTTTGAAAAGAGCAAGCAATTGAGCTGAGAAAGTTAGCAATAACAAATTTAAGAAGGAGCAAGCAATCAGAATGAGAAAAAACAAAAAACTCAATCCCTCTTAATATGTCTTGTTGTTTCTTTGATGATTGCATTTTACTAATATACAAAGAATGAAGTATTACAATTTTAAGGCTAATTGATTTTCATTTATGCTATTGGTTGCCAAGAAGAGGGAGGAAAAAATAAATAGAATTTTAGATTTTCTTTTGTTTGGTTCAAGGGAAATAAAAATACTTGGACTGAGGCAATAGGTCTAGACTGTCTAGTATCAAGTTCTTATAAGTTGTAACAAGCTTGTTGAATAGAATTTCCAGATTCAAAATTTGTTTTACGTAATTTGAACAATTAAAAGTTAAAGATTCTTTTATTTTTCCCTGTTCTAGGGAAATAAAAAGATTTGGGAAAGTTGTAACAAGCACATAAAATTAATTATAGAAAAAATTACTGCTCAAGAAGCTTGAGAAAGTTGTAAAGCTTGAGAAAGTTTGAGAGAGTTGTAAAGTTTGAGAAAGTTGCTGCTCAAGAAGCAAAAATGGGCATCACGAAACTTCTTGAAGAAAGGCTTTCTGTCAAGGTAATGACCACGTTGAAATCACACATAAATACATTCACAAGATCTGTATTCACATGTTCATCAAATGAGCAGGTTGCAGCTATATTGAATATATGCACACACACGCACACATATAGGAAACAAGTGTCTTGAGTCCTTGATTTATGGTTAAGAAACTATCTGGATACCACCTGGTCTACTAGGTCTGTGGAATCTATGCAGGATTTTCCTTTCTAATTAGGTATTCTTAGATCAATTTTTTTCACATTCTACAATCATTTCTAAACTGTTCAATTATATCATGCTTCTTTCATGCTAACTCATTCTAGAGGCCCGGTTTGTAATTTCTCCTTCTAATGTGCCTATTTTTTTTTTTTTAAATTCAACTTAGCTAAAATGCTCAAATATATTCAAAACCATACCATATATATATATATATATATATATATATATATACCATATATTTTTTTTTTTCCTTTTTGTCTCTGATTAGATATTGTTAGATCAATTTTTTTCACATTCTACAACCTCTTAAAGGCAAAATCCCTTGGTTTTAAGAAACTGATTTCTTCTTATTTTCATCAACAAACCAATATATATACACACACACACACACACATATGAGCTTAAAATTTTATATTCCAACAAAGTGATAACCCTTTAAATAATCTAATCCAATAATTGGATAATTTTATGTGCATACATAATAATACCCAATATGAACAAAATCCACTAACTATAGAAAAAATTCTAGAAAATCACAAACAGATCATATAAAATTAATTATAGAAAAAATTACAAATAGATCAATATAGAAAAAATTACAAACAGATCAATATAAAATTAATTATAGAAAAAATTACAAACAGATCAATATAAGCTTTCACAATCAGATCATATGATTAATTATAGAAAAAATTACAACTAATACAATCTGATCAATATAAAATTTAGCAAGCATTGACGTATCATTACCAAAGAGAATGCACAAGAGAATCACAAATTGATGTAGCTGACAAAAAATTCTAAAAATCAAATTGAACAATACCATATGTTCATGTATGTTAATTAGATATATAAAAAAAAAATTCATGGAATCCAAACAAATGACCAAACCTTGCCACCCATTAATCGCAAGGAAAAAAAACAAAAAAAAAAAACTTAAATTGTAAATTACCGCAAAACCAAAAAAAAAACTAAGATATTCGAACAAAGTCCAAACCTGTCGAGATCGTCGAAGATAGCAGCGAAGGAAAGCATATCGTGGAAAGTATGGCCAAAAATAGCAGTCCTTCAACTTTTTCCTTTTTCGTCGAAGATAGCAGCGAAGGAAAGCAGTTGTCGCCAAGAAACGCCCAGAACACCAGAGCAATTTTGTGAAAATGCGAACCCTAGAATTGTTGCAACTTTTTCCTTTTATACCTCCTTCCAATTGTTGCCTCCGCTACAGTTAAATGAAGGCTTTGCTTCTTTCGCTACAGGGCTTTTTATCGCAAATAAAATGAAGCAACAAAAAACACCAAAATGGTGTTTCATAATTTGGCCCAAATTTGAAAATATTTTGCAACTGTTTCAAACACAATAAGTCCAGCCAAACATGTTTTGGGCTTTAAATAGGCTACTGTAGCAGGCCTAAAACAAAACAAAACACTTACCAAACAGGGCTTAACGGTTATAATTGTTTGCTTCGATTTAGATACAAGATTTTAAATATATATATATATATATATATATATATATAAATATATATATTAAAAAACAATAATATTACATATATATATATATATGTAATATCCACATTCCTTGTCTTTTTCCTAACGGCTATATTCCCAACGGCTATATTATGTTTGTCTTTTTCCTAACGGATATATTGTGTTTGTTTTTTCTTCAACAACTATATTCTCAATGGCTATATAAACCACTCATTCTCTCATTTTTTCAATTACCAAGTCTATTTATTTACATTTTCGAATTCATTTTCTCTGCTTTGAGTCTTTATCTTTATTATAGAAAAAAAAATGGCTTCATCATCATAATCTATTCCAGTGTCCGTGTCAATTTCTCCATTGAGTTCCTTCATCTTCTAACGGGAAAGATTTTTTTGAAGAACGTCAAAAAAGAATGAATGAAGTGATGCAACTGTTATCGCCTGAGAATGTAAAGGCATTCTTTCGACGTCGTAAGAGAAGATATATTAAACGTGATCGAGAAGAAGCAGCCCAGCGACTATTCCAAGATTATTTTGTTGAAAATCCCACTTTTCCACCCGAGATGTTTCGTAGACGATTTCGGATGCGTCGAGAGTTGTTTATTCGCATTTTAAACGGTGTTACAGCATATGACGAATGGTTCATCCAGAAGCCTGATGCCCTCGGTCGTATGGGTTTCACTTTTATATAGAAGATGACAGCTGCAGTATGTATACTCGTATATGAAATTTCAGTAGATCTTTGTAATGAGTACATAAAGATTTCTAAAACCACTGTGGTTGAAAACTTGAAGCGCTTTTGTGATGTTGTAATTGCGGTGCATGCAGGGCAGTACCAATGCACACCAAACGAAGAGGACATTGCATGTCTGCTTCGAGAAGGGGAAGAAAAAGGCTTCCCAGGTATGCTTGGCTCTATAGATTGTATGCATTGGGTATGGAAGAACTGCCCTATAGGGTTGCATGGCACACACAGGGGAAAAAAATCATAAGCCTACCCTCATATTGGAGGCGGTTGCATCGAAAGATCTGTAGATCTGGCATGCTTTCTTTGGTATGGCTAGTTCAAACAATGACGTGAATGTCTTGAATCATTTCCCAACATTCAATAGCCTGATCAATGGCACAATGCCTCCGATTAATTACAAGGTAAATGGGTATCGACGTACAATGGGGTATTACCTATCTGATGGTATTTATCCCAAGTGGGTAACTTTGATTCAGACCATCCCACACCCAACAATTAGCAAAGATAAATTGTTTGCTAAAAAACAAGAAGCCGTTAGGAAAGATGTTGAACGAGCGTTTGGCGTGTTGCAGATTAGGTGGGCTATAACGCAAGGACCTGTGTATTATTGGGATAAAGAAGATTTAAACGAGATAATGAGAATGTGCATCATATTGCATAATATGATCATTGAAGATGAACGTGGACACATTTTGCAATGGACACCTCCGCCGGATGAGCCAATATCCTTCCCACATATATTCGAAACCCAACAATGTTGGTGGCACACATTTCCGGTCGTTTTAGAAGAATTCGTAATAGAGCGGATAATGCTAATCTCAGGAGACATCTGATGGAACATTTGTGGAATCAATTTGGTAATGAAGATGTTTAAATTTTGTATAATCGAATAAAATGTAATTTTTATATTATTATACGAATTAATTAAATCAGTACGTGGTAAAGATGTTAAAATTTATTAATCGAATAAAATTTTATTTTTTATATTATTATGCAAATTAATTAAATTATTATGTAATAAATAAATAAATAAAATTGATAAGTCAAAGAGTACAAACTTTTTTTAAAAAAAATAATAATAATAATTAAATAATTATACAAATTAAATGACTCTTTTTATTTATTTAAAAAAATGTCTTTTTTTTTAATTAATTAATTAAAATTTGACTATCTTTACATTAATTAATTAATCCAATACACATACAATATTTATTTTACACATCATCACACAATATCACTTTTCTATTTTATATTATTATCACACACAAAGGCCCATACAATGGCCCACCACGCCTGCTGCGGCTGCCCACTGCCAGGCACTACTCCATTATTTAACTGTGGAGTGTGGAGTGTGTAATATTGCATGGGCCCCACTTGTGTGTAATGTGCATAAGAAAGCATTTCATTCTATACAGGTTGAGATATTATATACTTAATGCTCGCGCTAGGGTTGCTCTAAGTGTTTATCTTTACGTAAATTGTTGCTCTAAGTGTTTATCTTTACGTAAATTGTACACTTTCTTGACTTTTCAATCCAAGTTATTTTTGGTATTTTACTTTCCATAACATCATTGCATTAAGTCATTTTTCTTAACTTGTTTATTAAGATTATGTTTAGTTAGCAAGAACTAGTTAGAAAGGAAAAGAAAATGAAATTTTTTTATACACTTGGTTCGATGAAAAGTGAAAACTTTTGAGAAAATAGGATTATCGGATGTTGTGAATTTTCTTACGTCACACAAAGTGGGAGCGAGAGCGAAAGTGGAAGCGCGAAAACGTCAAATCTAAATTTTTTGAAAATGAGAGCGTTTATATATTAGGTTTAAATAAAATTATATCAGGTAGGGTCATGACATAAATATTTTATATTTTTTTATTTATTTAAATCCATATCCAAATATATTCATTATTATTTATTTTATATGTAATAAATAAACAAACTTTTCTCATTTATTTGTAATATTTTCCAATTGGAAAGTTTTTTAGTGGTATATTTTTAAACATGTATAATTAATATATATATATATATATATATGGTAGTATAGCAATGCTAAGTAAGAAATGCATTTATAGTAATATATATATATATATATTGTAATGACCCGGTCATTTTCCTTCCTTTCCCTTTTCTCAGATTTTCACGGATATTTTTTTTCCGTAGTTCTTTTCCTTTATGAGTTCAGTTTTTCATCACTTAGTGTCATCTTGAGTGCTCTGGAATGATTTACGAGACTCTTTTCCTTAGATTGACAACCTCTTTTGAGGACCAAGTCATTCCCACATTTTTCGTTTTTCGACACTATTCACTTTTCGTCATTTTCCCTATTTCATCATTTTCCCTATTTTGTCTTTTCCCTGTTTGTCACTTTTTGGCACAACATCACTTTTCGTGCTTGGAGTTGGTTTTCGACTTCACGTACCTTCATCCTAAGTGGTTTCCACGAAATACGTATCTTTACTTTTGTAAGAAAGTACTTTGGTTGCTCCTGGTGTCCGTAGGGGCATGGATGCACAGTTTTTTAGAATCTTTTTCTTTTGTTGGGGTGTTTTTCATAAATATATTTTGAAGATATTTTATTTTAGGGGTTTTTAAGAAAATATTTTTGGAAGATATTTTCATTCTGGGTCATTAGTGCAGTTTTTACTTTTTGGAGGGGCCATTGTGCAATTAATAAAAATTATTGCAAAAATACTTCGTTTTGAGCCTGGGTCCTCGTACGGGACTTATTTTCACTTTTCATCCAGTCGTGTACTCTTAGAATTGCCTTCTAGTCGTTTTTCTCCAGTTTCTATGTTTCTGGCCTCGGTTGCCGCCGAACTTGTTCGGAGCATATCTCTCTGCTTGGAACTCAGTTTTTGACGCCGTTTCTTCCGTTGTTCATTTTTTCTCATTTTGAATCTTTTTTGTTCACAGAGTTTTTCTGTTTGAGTGCGTCTGCTCAAATTTTACTTTTCCGGACCCGGCGAGGCCCTTTCAAGGCACTTTTAAGGTTTTACTATAAATCGGGGGTTATAAAATTGAAAAGTCACTTTCTCCTCTCTTCATGCACGACCTGAAGCTTCCATGGCAGCCTAAGGGGGGCTGCCACCCTTCTCCTCTCATTTAAACCTCTTTCCCTTTGTTATAAAGTCATAGTGCATTTGCGTTTTGTGTTTGTCTTGACTACGCGCTTATTTCCCCCTTATTAGAACCCCTTTTTGGCCAAATTTTGAGTTCGGGTTTGAGGTCAAGTTAGGATTTTGGTAGGTCCTCTTTGGAGTTTAATGTTCACGGCGTTGTCCCCGACAAAACCCCGAAGTATTGTCGGATTCGGAGCCGTTTCATTTTGGTGGCTTTTGAGATTTTCATCTCAAATTGAGGTAGGGGATATTTTAGGATTATATATGTATTGGATTGAGTATCTCACATGATTATACAACTTGTTTGCATGCCTTGTATCAAATTTATGAAATTTAATTTAATTACAAGGATGTATATAACTTAGAATTGAATTGTGGCATGATAATAAATTATGTTTTGATATGTTTGTTAACATATATTAAATTGGGATTAATTGAATAAGAATTGCACTTTTTATTTAATAATTATCTTTTGTGAAAGTTTAATGAACATGGACGTACCTTGCATGAAATGAACTTGTAATATACTTTTAAATTAAGTCTTGGCATGTTCCTTAACATACTTTAATTTGAGAGTATTTGGATAAGTATAAAAATTTAGAGATTTTAATTAGAATGATTAATTAAAATCCATTTAATGGTTCCATTGGCCTAATTAAGTTTTTAACTTGATAATTGTGATGACTAGGGCTTGTATACTAGCATATGTTAATTTGAGACCATTTGATGTTGTTTTAGAATTTAGGGATTTAATTATCATATTTTAATTAAATTCTATCCTATTGATCCAATGACCTAAGTAAGTTTTTGACTTGATTCATGTAATGAATAAGTTATGTTGTTTAACATATGTTAATTAGGGTTCATTTGATTGAGATATGAAACTTAGAGAAATTAATTAGGTTATATAATTAATTTTTGTTTCTATTGTATTATTGATTAATTCATGTGTTTAACATTGATATTATGTTTGAAGCATGATTTTAGACTTGTAATGGACTTATGCGATTATGTTTCAATATTGAATTATATTGTTATAGCATGTAACGAATCGCATACTGAAGATTCGACATGTGATGTTATTATAGCGCGTAACGAATCGCGCTCTGAAAATTTGACATTGTCATCCTATAGTAATTGTGGATTTAGGGTATGTATTGTATGGTTTCAACCTACTTGTGCATGGAATGTAGTTTCGTGCTGATATATATATATATATATATATATATATATATATATATATATATATCGTATATAAGTTGTTAACTTATTTATTTTGGAGTCTTGGGACATTATTACTGTGATATGGCTAGAGTTTGACTCTAGTGCGGGAGGTATGAGTTCTCCCCATTGAGATAGTGCGTACTAGGGTGGTCTTCCCAGCGGGTTAATGCCCGGAATAACCAATTTGTTCTTGGTTTAGTCCGAGACGTGATGTCCAAGTCTTCCACTATTTGTTTTCGCATTCAATTCCAAGTTGTCAACCAATGTTTAATTGTGACTTGTGGTTTTGGTTATTGGCGATTTAATGTTGTTAAGTACATTCAGGCATTATGATTTCTAATGAATCATTGCAGGTTTTGATGTGATTAAGTACATTCATGTTTCATAATTTTTAATGAATCATTATAAATTTTAATGTTGTTAGACACATCTATGCTATATTGTTCAAATGTGATTTAGGAATGATCCTATAGATTCATTTGGAATATAGATGTTAGGTGGCATGACCTACTTTAGTCGTTTATACACTTTTAGATTTCAAGTTGATTACTTTGAGGATCTATGTCTTGACGTGTGGTACTAGAAACTCCAATTTATGCTAAATGGTTATCTTTAGTTGTTTACACATTTTAGATTTCAAGTTGATGACTTTTGAGAATCTATATTTTGTCGCTTTGTATGGTATGCTCCTATGTTGTTAGAATTGCATGAATGTGCGTTTTATGCTAGAAATGATCTTAGGCAGCTTAGGATGCTCCCTGAGTCCCACCTTTGACATAGACGCTAGGTGGAATGAACCACGATGTTTAAATTATGCAAACATATAAAACGTTAGGTCGATGCATGCTCATTTTCTACGAGTAGCTTTATGTTACTCACCCCAAAGTTAATGGGGCATATTTCAGGTACAGGAATCAAGGTTGAGATTCTTATCATGCTTGGATGATTTGTGAACTTGAAGTTTCCATTTTTGTAAAGGTTGGCTTGAAATGCCATTTGTAGCTTTATTTGTCAAATGTGTATATTTGATTCTAAACTTGTAATGTGTACCTAAGGACACTTTTTGATTCTTATTCCATGTATATAATTTGTGGCCAAGGGCCAAACTTTATTTGAAATCCATGAATATTCATGAATGTTGAATTTTGCCTTTATTGAGAAAAGTACGAAAACTAGGGTTTTGATATGTCAGTCTCGCACCGGTGTGTGCATTTTGTGTGAAATTCATTTTTTAGCATTCATTTTTCATATGTGAGGTGTGGCCAAGGGCCAAACACCATTTAGTTTTCATTTTTGCATTTTAGTTCACATATTGCATTTTTGGGCTAAAATAGTAGAAACCGAGCCTTTAAATGTTCATTTTCAAATCGGATGGTACAAAATGTGTTCTGGCACCTCCACTAGGTTTCATTAATCGTGCATGAAGTGTGGCCAAGGGCCAAACGGTAATTTGAAATCATTTGTCAATTTTAAATTTCAAAATTTTCAT